GCTCCCACAGCTCCAGCTCTGTCCTGTGCTGAGGGCTCCAGAGCTGGACGCAGGACTCCAGCTGGTTGTGTCGTAGTTGAGTATTCACTAGTAAAGTGCTATCCAGTGACTCCTTGCCTTAGATTCATATATATAAATTTATATATATATACTGAAGATACAGCTTGTCTAATGTTTGTCTTCACTGTCCCTATTCTGCTGATCAATTAAGTAGATTTAAATTCAGGGAAATTATTTCAAGGAAATATAAAAAATGTCCTTAACCTTTAGTGTTTTTAACTCTGCAATGGTCTTTCCACTTCCATTTTCTCATGCACTTCCAAGGCTAGCACACATGATTCCCATTTGAGGAGGCATCCTGGATGTGAAGGGAATAGTGGCTATGCTGTCTTCTTTGACTTGAAACTAAATTGAGAATATTTATTTAATGCAGTCTTTTTCTTTTTCTGTTTCAGGAGACGCTCCCTGGTTTTAAATGGATTGGAAGTAGGGTAAAAGATCTCCTAGATAACGGAAAAGAAGTTCTGTTTGCATTTGAAGAGTCTATTGGTATGTATATTAATATCACTTTAAAGAGTTGAGAACTGCATCAGGGAATTGGGACTAAAAATAAGTGGTCTTAGTTATGAAACAAAACACAAAAGTATTGTAATGTTGTTCTTATAGTTACTAGCATTGGTGTTTTGCTCTCATCAAGTCAGCTTGCCAACTGTCATAAATAATACATGAATCTCTGATTCTGGTATTGTGCTTGTGCAGTTTCCTGATAGAAACCTGTTCTGATACAGGTTGGAAGTCCTGAGAAGCTAGAGACAAATTGCTGTTCCTTTGTGGCCTTTCAGCTGAGATTAAGCATAGGATCTGTTCTTCATCAGTTTAATACCCTACAGGTCCTCTCTGTCAGGACTCGCTCTTAGTGGCTGTGTGGAGCTGGGAGGTGATGGGAAGAGAGGAACCTGATGAGGTTCAACAAAGGCAAATGCAGGGTCCTGCACCTGGGGAGGAACAACCTCATGCACCAGTACAGGCTGGGGCTGAGCTGCTGGAGTGCAGCTCTGCGGAGAGGGACCTGGGAGTGCTGGGGGACGACAGGGTGACCATGAGCCAGCAGCGTGCCCTGGGTGCCAAGAAGGCCAATGGGATCCTGGGGTGCATCAAGAGGAGTGTGGGCAGCAGGACGAGGGAAGTTCTCCTCCCCGTCTACTCTGCCCTGGTGAGGCCCCATCTGCAGTGCTGTGTCCAGTGCTGGGCTCCCCA